AAAGATCGAAGCTAAAATGATATATAATCGGACAACTGCACTTCGCACTTTCTCTGTATCGGGATTTAAGTCTTTAAAGACCTGGGGGGGGGGTTAGGTTCGTCCACCTCTTCCTACCTCCTGTACTATGTTGTATGGTTGCTGGAGAAGGTACGTGTAAATACAACATGAAGAACAGAATAAACCGCACTTACTCCGACCCCCTTTCAAGGCAATGTTCATGTAGGTGTAAACAATTACATTCATGTGTTGATAGAACAATGTTCATGTAGGTATAAACGGTCACATTCATGTGTTGATAGAACAATATTCATGTAGGTAGAAACGGTCACATTCATGTGTTGATAGAACAATATTCATTTAGGTATAAACGGTTACATTCATGTGTTGTTAAAACAATGTTCATGTAGGTATCAACAGTCACATTCATGTGTTGATAAAACAATGTTCATGTAGGTATAAACGATTATATTCATGTATTGTTAGAACAATGTTCATGTAGGTATAAACGGTTACATTAATGTGTTGATAGGACAATGTCCATGTAGGTATAAAAGGTTCGAGTCTGGCAGCCAGTTTAATTTTACCGCCTTAAAGCCACGGATGATGACTCAACTGAACGAGGAAGTTAGGTAGCAAAATACACTAAATTATCACCAAACAAAAGAAACGTTTAATGCTCAAACGAATGGTTCGTGTGCTACGGCTCAAAACAGTAGAAAAGGCGGCCCACATTTCTATCAATGATAGCATTACTATTTAAGCCCGACATTGTCTGGTACTATTATATATATATATATTTAGGAAAGTAAGTGGCAAATGATAATATTCCTGTACAATGCCTAGCGGAGAAATACATTTATTCAGAAAATAAAAAAGACTATGATTGAAATATGACAGCAAAAAAACAAAAACATAAAAAAAACGTGGCAGGTGTTAATATACTTGTGTTCAAACCTAATCTAGGCAATGAAAGATTAGATAATAGTTTGTATACAGTCAGCATTAAATTTATGTTACACTTTACGTACGGCTACTGTACTAGTCGAGTAACAGATAAGATGGACTTACATAGAAAAGTGACGTAAGAAATGGAGTGACAGATGAACTTGATGAAAGGACGACGAATGGTACGACCGAAGCTAGAGTGGGGAGCAAGGATGTAAGCTATTGAATATAATGGAAAGAGAATTCCTATCCGAATGATTTCTAATGACTGGAGAAGAGCGTTCTTCCGTCGGAATCCAGGCAATCCTTCGTACCAGATGGAAGCTAGTAACTGCTGAACGTTGGAGTGGGCACAGAACTGAAATATCAGATATGTCAAACTTGCCAAAACTTTAATTACAAATGAAATAAAGCACGTTAATCAACCCAATATTACTGAATGACAGGTTTACAATCTTTCAAACGTTCCATTGCCGTTGATCTGAATATTTAGTTCTTAACTTTAAAAAAACATATAAACAAACAAAAACACAGGTTAATCACATTAAGTCTTGATCTAACACAGTAATTGTAATGACAAGTTTACAATCTTTCAAACTTTCCATTGTCGTTGCTCTGAATATTTAGTTCTTAACTCTAAAAAACACATAAACGAACAAAAACACAGGTTAATCACATTAAATCTTGGTCTAAAACATTCATTGTAAGGAATTGGTTTATATGCATACAATTTGAAGTTCGACTTCATAGGCTTAGTCACATTTGTTACTATGGCGACGAATTACCGAGAGCTGATTGGCTGAACGTGTTTTCCGCAGTTGTTTTTAATTACCATTTTACGAATAGAAGGTCAGTACTTGATTCGAGGCAGTTTCATTAAAAACAGAAAAGGGTGAACTTATAAGGAAAAGGGTATTCTTATTGATGCAAATATAACAAAACGAAACATTTTGAAATAAACAGTCTTTAAATAGTTGTGTTTTGTTCAAGCACATATATATATATATTAGATACAAGTTTGTTCTTACTGCGTTAAAGCTCAATTATTTATGTTGTCAATGGTGGAACGACGACAAGTCCTGCATAATTTCCTTATCTATATGTATAAGTGCAGAAGTGATGTTTGGTAAATCAGCCATTTGATGATATTTAAGCACATTAAACAAATTTAAAAAAAATGTGCCAGACGTGGACTAGTAGTTAGCAGGCCAGAGTGTGAAGTCGAGATTTTGTGGGTCGCGTCCAGTTGCCGCAAAATCGCGTTCCGCACTTCGGGCTTATGGCGTTTTATAAGTTGTTATTGTTGAATTTTGTGTTAAGCTACTCGAGGGCTATCTGCTCTAGTCATCCCTAATTTTGAAGTTATAGACTAGAGGAAAGACTGTTAATCAACACCGTTCGCCGCCAACTTGTGAGCTACTCTAATTAAATATTAGAGTTTGACCGTTACTTTTATAACGCAACCACAGTCCTGGCGGTAACGGGGGGGGGGATCACATAATCCCTGATTCACAGTTCAACACACTTACCACTGCGTATCCGAGATTATTTGGTTTGTGCCCCGATAACGCCAAAAATAAAAATGCACCCCGCACTTTGAGGAGTGAAAGTCTAATCCAACTATCCGATTAGTGTAGCCCAAGGGTTAGCAGTGAGTGCTGTTGACTAGCTGCCTTCCATCTAGTCTATCAGTTCAAAATTAGGGCCGGTTAGCGCAGATAGCCCTTTTGTAGCTTCGCGCGGATATTCTAGACAAACAATAATTTTTTTTGATTCAAATATTTAGGCAACAACAACAACAAAAAATCTCAATAACTTTCAAAATTATCGAAATCTTCACTAGAAAATTAAAAGATGTTTGCGTAATTGAGAAAAAGAAAGTAAGAAAGAGATTGCTCTTAATTACATGATTTCGGAGATATTTTATAAATAGTGTTTTAAACAAGCGTAACATGTCTATAAGGGAATTTAAAACTCAACGTTTGTAGCAGGTATTCCGACCTACTAGGACTTACAGTCATGCCTATTTACTTTGCTTTAGTCATAGAAAATACTTTAGAAAGAAATCTTGCTAAGATTCAGGGATTTTCGATGTATCTAATGATCAGTTAAATGATCGGTGAATGTATCCAGATTATGAACAGCCCAGAACTGCAGTTTCAATGTTTATCAGCTCTTATCAGCCTGACTGCGTTTATCAAAGAAACAGTTTCCTTACAAAGAACTGGTGAAAGCCGCAGTTTCAATCTTTATGAGCTTTCATCAGGCCAACTACGTTTATTAAAGAAACAGTTTCCTTACAAAGAACAGGTGAAAACTGCAGTTTCAATCTTTATGAGCTTTCATCAGCCCAACTACGATTATGAAAGAAACAATTGCCTTACAATAAACAGGTGAAAACTGCAGTTTCAATCTTTATCAGCATTCTTGAACCAGTTACGTTTACGAAAGAAACAATTTTCCCACGATAACCAGCTTAAGAATTGTAGTTTGATCTATATTTACTTTCTTCAGACGATAACCAGCTTAAGAATTGTAGTTTGATCTATATTAACTTTCATCAGACGATAACCAGCTTAAGAACTGTAGTTTGATCTATATTAACTTTCATCAGCCGAACTCAGTTAATAATAGAAATAACGAGATTAATTTCAGCTGCTCTTTCGTTTTTAGAGAGTGATAAAAGTGTATGTGTAAATAAAATATGAATAAATATTTTCTTATTTTTTGATTTCTGTGTAATGTAAAAAAATAGGCTAACACTTAAGTAGTTCAAATGATGTGATGGCATTTTTTATGTTATATTAGAAATTTTTATCAAACTGTATTATGGTTGTCAATATAAATAAGATACAAATATCTCAGCAATTTTAATTAACAATAGTTGGCATGAGGTGTACTACGATGTTTAAAGTGGACAAAATATCTTTTTCAGATATGATAAAAATGGTTTGATGGAGAATGGAAACAAAATAAATTTCACAGGTCATTCAACCATCACAAAGTTTTCCAAAATTACGTTTACTTTATTGAAAAGAAGACAAACGCCTTCTTAACAGGAAACTCTCTAACCTTGTTCAAGAAATCAAAAAGTTTAATTTTAGGGAATTTAATATAGTTTGTTATAAATCTACTGACAGAAAAGTTTCGAATGACTATCAGTGTCTGTGTCAATCATCTCAGGAGCTTTTAACAATTCTCGAGACAGAATAAATCTCTAGAGAATTAAAAAATAAATCTTATTGGCAATTTTAATATTACATTATTTAACCTTTTATTGCTTTAGAAATCGAACAAACTTAGATTCATACTTAAAGGTGTTGCATACTGTACAGTTTAATGTGATCGATATTAATACAAAAGTACGAAACATTTATACGGGCATAGCGTTTATCGATTAATTCAAAGTCTAACTTACTAGTAAAATATTAAATGCTAAGCCTAATCAACCTCTTAGTACTGCTTAAGCCATTATTTTGACGTTTCAGATCATCTTGTAAGCGAAACGTATGTTTTAGCAGAATTACTCTCAGTCTTTAACAACATTTCCAACGCAATTTCAAACACGTGAAATTGTATTTGTAGTTAAATTCCCCTAGTTTGTGAATGTAGTGCTTAAATCTTTTCTTAAAATAAATTCCAAAACTTTATGTGATTTCGAATTTTCGATTCTAAACAGTTTCTAACTGAATCAAAGTTTTTTTTTCCTCTATTGGTCAGTTAATTCTCTGTTTTATAATGAATTCTAACTTGAATTGCTTACTGTTTTCTACACTTTTCGAAACTCGAACAATATATTTGTTTTCCATTGTTTATGTGTGTCCTCATTTCACCCCCCTTTTTTTTCATTCAGACGCCTCTTTATCTTTCTTGAGACTCCTAAAGTTGAAATATTAACATTGAACGAATACCTTAAAATAAACCAAGATTTCACATTTAATATACTGTTTTAAGCAATTATAATTTAAGGAAAAACTAAATAAGTACCTGAAAAGCTTGCTTAAATAACAATCTGAAGAAAAACAGCGTGCGTAAAAACACTAGAACAAAAAAGAAAAGTTCACCCAATACAGTAGAAGTCGTTTAGTTAGAGTATATTTTGCATAACATGCTATTTAATTCATATTTTCTTTAGAACCCTTCTTCGTAACCGATTGGCAAGAATGGAAGCCTTTCAAACAATACTTGAGATAATTGATCAAAGTGGTGACATCTAAATATTGACTTTTAAAGAATTTCAATACCTCAATTGAAAGTGTCTGATCTTATTATTAAGTGGGGCGTTAAGCCTAAACGGGCAATCACAGTGTGCGAAAAGCGAGTTTTCTATGAATATTTGATGTGACATGAGACGTTTTCTAAAATATGAAGTAATGTTTTGGCGCTGAGCATAAGTTAAGTGATATTTCTTCTATTTCGGGATGACGTTAAAAAATAATTTTATTTTTTTAATATTACCGATCGCTCAACTAAAAACCTTCCAGCATAATAACGTCAAGTATGCATATATCATTTATATTGTAGCATGGGGTGCAAATATATTGTCAACAATAAAACTCGGAGATTGATAATAAAAGCTGAATTAAGAAAGTCATTAACATAAATAGGGAGTTTTAGGAATTTCATTAAAAAAATAAGGTATGTCACGTGTCGTGAACTTGAAGATGAAGTATAGGGAAATCATTTTGATAAAGAAACTGCCAATTTTTAAACCATGATAAAAAATTATTAAACCTACTCTTTCTGCATATATATACACGTTTTTTGTAAAGAGAGATGTTTAATGAACTATCATTCGGAAGGATGTTAGTTCACTCAGAAAATCGTACCAAATAATGTATGACGAAAAACGAAAGATAAAATATTACGGTAATATTTTATTCTTTTCTCATGATTTATTCTTCTACGTATCAGAGTGTATAATAACACACATATATATATACATACACACACCACATTCATATATAGTAAACAAATGCTAGTCTTGTGTGAATATATCTTTATAATAAGAATATCCTTTATAAATTACTTCAAAACCAAAGAAATGTCCAGTTGGTGGTATATAAGCTCATATAATCCATTTAGTAAATTTGAAAAGTATCATTCGAACGGATTTTTTTGGACATCAGTAATTATTCACAGAAATGAGAAATGAAAAGAATGTAAATGACAATTATTATAAAGATATTCTAAAAATTTTGAGCATTGATCACTGTTATTAAAAAGAATAAAAGTGTCATCCACATACCTTCTGTACAGAATAGGCCTAAAGTTAACCGGACAGGTGTTTAGCTAATGCATTTCTCTCTCTCATTACGAACAGAAATGGCTTGATACCTGTCCAGTTAAGTTTAGGCC